ATATTTGCCATGAGGGTAATTTGGCCCTTAAGACTATGAACTTTGGTGTGGCTTACAGAGCAGGAGCAGGTAGGATATTGCCTAAAAAACTCCAATAATATGTTCCTCAAAGTTGGGTGTAGGACACCCTGAGTGTATATGTGCTGAGAACCAATATGTTACAAATATAGTTTCATGTAGCCTTTGCTAAAATCTACATCATTATAAGGTGTTTATTAATTCTGTTACAGTTGCTCCTGGTACTGAGCATTATGTAGCCGGGGATTCCTGTACCATGGAGAAGCCTCAATAATTTACTCACTTGAGGTGAGGCCTCATCCTCCAATTCAGATGACACTCAGGCATCTGCCATTCCATTTTCCTATTGCCAATCCTGATCATATTTCTAGTCACTGGTAACCCTAAACGAGAGTATCAGAAGTTCTGATGTAGAAGTGCTTACTGCAGGTAATATATAAAACCCAATGCTCCCAAACACAGTTGCTTGGATTTCATGTGGCTTTCACACTTAACCTACTGTCCCTGTGTTTTTGTAAAATCAAGCCAGATATTTCTACTCTATTTCTGAAAAGAGGTGTGTTTAGTGAGAAGAACAACAGAGAATTGGGAAGTGACTATTGAGATGAGATGAATGAGCTAAATGTGAACAAAGATACAGAATGGAAATAAGTGGAATAAGACCCGATGATGACTGTGTAGAGTGGAAGGTGTAAGTTGGACAGAGCCCTACTTCCAGGTTCAAGTGAGATCGTGTTTGCTCAGCAAATTCATAACATAAGGCAGCTGGAGCAATAGTTTGGGGTTTTTTATTACTTGCTTTTGTTTTTTTGCAGTACTGCTGACTGACCACAGGGCTTATGGCATGTTATGCAAGTGCTCTACCACTGAGCTACACCCCTAGCCCTAGTAGTGTTTTTGATGTATGACACAATTTTTTTTTTAAGTATTTGGAAAGCAAATACTTGCAGTGGTGTCAAAACCTTGTCATCAAACAGTCCTCAGTGAGAGAAACTGCTTCACCCCTGCAGTAAACTGTGACCACACATACCCTTTGTGTCTCTCTCTGGGTTGCTGGAAGGATAAAAGAAGTTAATTGAGCTAAATAAATTGGCTATTATAGAATAAAGGCAGAATAAATGTGTCTGCCGCTTATTATAGGATCATTGATGTAATTACAAATTCTCCTTGGCTATTAATTCTCGAAAGTCCTTTATTGATAAAGATTTACTTGCTATAGTTTATTTCTGTATCTGTGTAGAGGTAATAAGACAATTACACTATAAATTACACATTAATTCATTCCAACTAGACTTCCTCCATTTGAATATTGATTAGTGATATTCACATGTAATTTCTTTGTTTTAAAGAGGCATAAAGGGATTTATTAGGCAGAATTTTAAAAGTACTTATTCAAAGAAACAGAGTGCAGGCCTTTAAAGGAGAGGCATGCTGTAGTCCAGAGCTGGGGATATCTGTGTGTTTTGGGGGTTGGAAATTTGTGGAATCTGTGAATCTATAGAAAGTTTGGGCTTGGTTTACAGGAAAAAATGATGGCCCATCCATAGTAGAAAGACATGGCTCATTTTACCAGGGAAAGGCAGGGCCTAGTCTAGTTTTGTCATCGTTGTTTTGTTTTTAAAATAGGTGAATCTACAATGATTTGTCTAAAAACATTCTTTGAATTCTCTCAATCTGTTCTTTTATCTTAAGATCAGGCTTCTGTTCTTTATCAACTAAGCTGGTTTATGGACTTGCAGTATCTTTAAGAGACTTTGGATGCTCTAGGCTTAGAAGAAAAGAAGCATAAATAAGCCCAGAAAGGACAGATATGGATTACCTTGGGTAACCTTAGGGTCTGAAGATGCCATCTCCCTGAAAGTAAAAATTTTAAATTATTATTTTCCTTGTCTCCTTTTTGGCCTTTATATCTAGGGTCCTGTAACATGTGTAAAGAACCTGTGAAGGGTTTTTTAAAAGGCACCTGGAGATGTCTCTCAGCAACTATGGAGCACACACAGTGCTGGACAGTGGGGATGAACTTGAGGCTAAATAAAACAAGGTGGAGGGGTAGAGCAAGCCGGCATTGGAGTGGTGACCCAGTGGGACCCCAGAAGAGTCCTGGCCAAAGCTGCAGCGTGGAGCAGATGGCTTGAGGACTGAGGAAGGTCATGGTAGATGCCACAGAAAGCTGAAGTGGAGCCTTTCTTACAGGAGGACCGTGGCGAGAGCATCTTGAAGGTACGCCCAGTGGAAGGGGAATGTTTGTCCCCACAGAGAAGGGCAGACTGCAGGATTTGGGCCTCTGTCAACCTAGGAGCTCGGACCTGATTTACTTTCCTCTTTCTCTCTGCTTAGCACCAAGATACACACAAGGGGCACTTCCTCTCCCCATCCAGGGAGAGGAGCGGTGACTTTCCCCCTGCAGCTGTGAGAAAACTTTCTAGCTTCCATTCATCTCCATACCTCCCCTCGCTCCCCAGCTCTCCCTGCCAATTAATAACACAGAGAGGCACAGGATTTGAGTTTCCCAGCAGATGAAAGTCTCAGAGTGGAAGAGGAGAAAGAACAGGAAGGTCAATGAGTTTTTAGGGAAGGGAGAGGAGGTCAAGAAAGAAGAAAACCAGGGCCGGGGATTTAGCTCAGTGGTTCTGCCACCTGTCTTGCAAGCGCAAGGTCCCAAGTTCGATCCCCAGTACCAGAAAACAAAAAGAAAAAAGAAAAGAAAACCAGTGGGTTCCTTCTTGATTTGAGTACAGGCTACCAGGTTCCGAGGGGAGCATCATCTATCAGCTGTCACCAAGATGGCCACTGCAATGTGCATGGCTCAGGATGTGTTTCCAGCCACCCAACAAGGGGAGCCATGGTGTTAGGTGGCCCACCTGGGTCCACTCAGTTTCTGAGAGTGAAAGAGGAGAGGAAGAGAGAAAGAGGATCTCCTTTTACCTATGTTTGTATCCAAGGATGTGTGTGATTTGTGGGGATAGCTTCAAGTGTCCTCCTGAGGCCAATTCCTTCTCTCCGACTCAGAACTAGTTTTGCCATAATGAGAGTGTGAGAAAACTTAAGCTTGCTCAAGACACTGGGTGGGTAAGTTCTTATTTGTGTCTCCCTGGTGAGCAAGTTTTATGTCCATCTGACCCAGGAATGGGGTGTGCTAACCTGAGGGGCTATCTAGTGAGGCCACTAGTCATTCTAGAGAGTAGCTCGCATTTCTGATTAGAGGGAGCAAGTAGTTCATATCTTTGATGTGCTTATGTGTAATTTTCTAGGGACTTGGGAGCCTCTAATTGCTGGAGAGATCCAAAGCTGCGAAGACAGAGAGAGGAAAGAGACAGAGAGAGACAGAGACAGAGATACAGAGAGAGACAGACAGAGACAGAGAGAAAGGAAAGAGAGACAGAGAGGAGGGAGAAGAGAGGAAAAAACAGAAAAAGACACAACGCAGAGAGGAGTGCAACAGAGCAAGAGAAGAGAGAGAAGGAAGAGAGGGTAGAGAAAGTGAGAGAGCAGGAAAGAGAATAGAGAAAAGAAAAAAGGAGCTAAGCACAGAGGACAAGTGGTTGGGGAAGGAAGAGAAAAACGAAGGGCCTCCAGCTGGACTTGCTGATATGCCCCTTTACTTCATGCCACTGGCTCACCCAAGAAATGTCAGCAGACGGGTTCAAGAGGTCCCCAAAGTGGAGATGAAGAACCTTGACCACCCTTGGGACAGGTTGTAGGTTCACTGACTTCCATCACAGGAAAGGGATTTGCAGGACAAGGCAGTAAGAGGCATAAAGAGATTTATTAGGCAGAACTGCGAAAGTACTCACTCAAAGAAATATAGTGTGGCCTTCAAGAGAGCAGGACTTCCCATGTAATTTCAAAGGTGATAGTCACTAGGATGGAGAGATTGGTGGGTTTGGTTTTGTTTTGTTTTTTAAATATAAATGGAGGTAGGTAGAATAAAGGTCAAGCAATAATTCAAGCATTTATTAAATCACGGTGTGTGCTGCTTCTAAACAATGAAAAAAAAAAAATCATTACACTGCCAAGCAGGAGGAAGAGCCTGTGAGCCTGGGCACCAAATAAGGAGGGAAAAGTTAGTCTTTCTGCTTAACTTGGTTAAGCAAGAAATTTCAAAGGAGTGGGGCTGTTTCTATATTGGCAATATGATTTTTTTTTTTAAATTCTAGGTATCACTGTTCCTTCTGGTGGTGAAACAAACCCCAATCGCCATTTGTGCAGAAATCTGATTTCCCAAACTTGCCTACCAAGAGTCAGTTGCTGAAAAAAATCATTCCCAGAGCACTCCAGGGAATTAGTGTTTCTCATAAGCAGCTCTAATAATCAGACAAGTTTGGGCAACACAGCCCAGCAGTGGTTCTCAGACCTGACTCTTTGTTATAATCTCCCGGGAAACATAAAAATCAACACTGATGTCCAGATCCCACCCCCGGATCAGTTAAAGCAGCATCTCCAGAGTTGGCCTGGCCATCGACACTTTTTAAAAATTGTCCAAATGATGCAACATGTAGCCAGGGGCAAGCATGCCTTTGCCTTGCTACTCAGTGTCGTCAGACTAGGACTAGCAGCCCTGGCCCCTGGGAGCTGGTTAGCAATGCAGGCGCCCAGGCCTGCTCCCAGACCCCAGAACAGCAACCTGCATTTCAACGGAATCTGGGTAAACCTTCAAGATCGATAAGCTTGTTCCAAGGTATGTTAACAGAACATTCATCTTCTAGTGGAGAGGGCAGGGTCTTCCCTCCCCACTCCTCTCTTCCTTGGTACCACCACCAATAAAAGCAGTTTACAATCTTCTCAGAGGTCTTTTGCTCCATACACTTGGCCATTGAAAGGCAACTGAAAAGGGGTAGGGTGAGGCAAGCCTATTTGTTCCAAAATCACTCGTGAAATTATGTTAAATGACGCATACTTCTCTTACCCGACTAAATGCCCAGTTCCTGTTTCACGGCCCATAATCAAAGACATTAAGGATCACTAACATCCACATCCGTGAATTCATTTAGACAGTTTTCTTTAATTAATGATGAAGACACTACAGTTCTAAGTACCAGACAGATTCAGGGGGGAAGAAAATGAAAATAAGCACAACACTATAAAGAAAACTTGGAAAAGTGAAACACTTCTAAATAAAAAATATAACCCTGGCCTGGTACCCATTACATATATACATAGTACGTATGTTCTACACATATATACAGTAAATGTTTTGGTAGCAATACAGACCGTGCCTTGGTCTCTTGTACACAGATAAAGCAGCACTATGAGCAGCACCACCAGCTTCGGATGATAAACCAAACTGCACACACAGTAAATGAAAATATATATGTAGTTCATTTGGCCCATCCTGTAGCCAAGATATGTAAGGAAAGTCTTTCGCAAGAAAAAAAAATTTGTTCCGAGAACTACATTCTCAGATCAATGGCAAAGTTCTAAAAAGAAAAGAGAAATGCACTCAAGATGTCTACAGAAATACAGACACATTTTCCTGTGTGGTGAATTCATTCTATTATATGACATTTTGGTTAACACTGGGGAAAAGAACAGCGGAAGCAATGAGAGATTTAAATGCCAGGTGAACGAACGGTGAAAGGCTGTCACACCAGATCTCTCAGTGTATACATCACAAATGCCAATGACAAGCTAGGAAAGGAGGACAACGCTCCCTCTAAGTCATACATTTTTCTAATTTTATTAGCTAATTATACGCTGTTTATGAATAACAAATCTTTTAAGAGTAGGGCCAAACGCTTCCAATATCATTCAACCTCCCCCCAATCTGATGCTCCGGTTGCAAGCAGTGAGAGACACCCAACACACTCCCTGACCCACACACCCTGTAGTGACACTTAGCAGACAGATTTAGAGATATGTATGAAAGGACCTCAAAAATGTTCTCAGCTTGGCTTTAGAAATGACTAAAGGCACCAACATTAAACCCTGGATGGTTTACTGACTTTGTTCTCTGTATCGAAGCGTACAGCCTGGATGAAGGTCTTCGATTCAGTCCAGGTAAGGTTTGTACTTCCACACACCTCTAGAAGAGCATGCTTCTTCCTTCCAAGTTTCTCACAGCCCACATACAGAACACAGCACCACCTCCGACTGACATTCACCCAGTCCTGGGAACACTGACTCCCATCAAGTTGCTGCAAAGACGTCATCGAGTTTGCAGTTGGTTTCCACCCATCCTCCTTTGCGTCCCTTCCAAAGGGTCCTTTTCACCATCTCAATCAAGGTCTTACTTTCTCCATATCTGGTTTCTGGGTCTTCTTGTGTGATAGACCAACCAGAGAGCCCTGCCAGAGCAGTGTGAGACTGGATATACCATCACTGTCACCAATGTCACAGTGCTGCACAGCCTTACTACTTTTCATGGCTCTTATTGTCAACGGGGGACAAGTTTCCTCCCTCCATCCTTAAACCACCTGTAATAAATAAAATGGAAGTTTCCAATTACATGGTACATTGCACCCAGGATGCAAGAATGAATACAACAGGGCTCCAGTACTGTAAACTACTGCCTCTTACAATATAAGACAATCGCTTTCTAGTACTTTAGGTCTCACATTTTAAAAACTGCTAGAAGACAAAAGGCAAAGAAATGTTAAAAAATCTTTACTTTCAGCTAGATGATTCTGAATTTTTTTTTTTTTTTTTTTTGCTAGTCAGTAGATTAGTCAAGAGAGTCCCTGACCTTTGAAAGTTAGCAAGAAACATGTAACATTGGTACTGATTTGTCATTATTGACTCAGGTGGTTGATCATTAATGGATTCTCCTTACTTCCAGCTGGTACCTGGGCTATGCTTTTGCCCAGAATGAAGATATCAAAGCCATGAAACATTTGTTCTTTTCACAAAGGAGAATTTTAAAACTCTGCCTAAGTCTCTAAGGAAGAATTCTGCGAAAGGTTGGTCTCATGAAGAAAAAGCCACTAACTTCTACTAGAAGCCCCAGTAATGTAAGCTGTTGGCTGGCCCACAAATACTTTGAAATAGATGACAGGCAACTGTCTTCAATAGGAACCAAACACAAGGCCTTAGCAGCTGATGTGTTCAAAGTAAACCGTTCGAGTAGCCTGTGCGTGGGTTTTTGGCTTGAGTACCAGCAACTTCCAGTTTTAAATCAGTAAAGTTTGATACTGCCCTCAAACCCAGCTTGGGCACATCTAGAAGCAGCTTAAATAAGATCTACCTTTATGATATTTCACTCAACAAAATGTCAGATACAAAAACCGAGAGACGGATTTTCCAGTCAGTTCATTTTTGTTTTCTCCAAAGATTTGTTGATAATTCCACACGCAGAGGTATCTTGGCAATACATATTCAAAGTCTAGGTTCTTTGAGAAATAATAATCAGCTCTACAGGAAAATGCATGGGACTGACTTTTTCCCTTTAGTTTAAGTCCTCAATGGAAGAGAGTACGACAGCTTGCGTTCTTACCCTAGCAGGAGTGTGAATCAGAATGCTTAAAAATTAAAAGTTAGTTTGCCTAAGAAAGTCTTTCTTTTTACAAGGGAGTAAAAAAACCAACATTCATATCAGATATTCAAAACTGATGGTGTTCTGTACTAATAGGAAGTGATATAATTCAGCAAGTTCCTAGAAAACAATGGATTCTTATGACTACCGACCTGTTTTAGAAGTTGATGAGCATGCAATGATTAAAATCCGCAACAATGAACATTGTACAACAGTCTGTGAGGTACATGCCATCTGGTTGAATAAGCAGTAACACAGGTGATAGTGGAATGGGGGTTCCACTTATCTCCACTCCCTTTTGAGTGGAGCAGGGCTCCCCAACTAGTAGATCAGGGCAACAGCCACTGCAATGCTCTCTAACCCCGGCTCCTTCCCGGCAGCCCCATTCAAGGCTCAATCCTTCCCAGAAAGAAAATGTTGCTCCTCTCAACAGCAGGGCTGGCAATGCCTGATAAAGAGTTCACACTGACTCAGAGGGAGTCTGATATTTGCATTAATTCACTTAACCTTTAGGAGGCTTCCTGGCAAAAAGATTTAAAATTCAGCAGGCAATATCTTTAAATGTGTTCACTGCCATTTCTGTTTTACAAGGAAAAATTCCAAGATCTGTATACTTTCCAAACAAGAAAAGGATTAACATTTTCACTGCTAATTTGATGTTTTGATAGCAGGTCATTATGATTTTATGTGCTCTCTGTACAGTGTTTTATGAACCAAGCACTAATAGGCCAGCAGGCACCAGGGCCAACGGGCCAATTATATCCAGTTAAATAATGTAACACTGGAAGTTCTCAGAACACACGAGATAAGTGTCTTAAAGACACTAACATGTAGCCCTGGTCATGGTTTTCTTTCAAAGTTTTTTTTTTTTTTTTTTTCCTGGAACTTTAATATCTGTTTAGCAAGCACTCGCTTGTCTTAAAATCCTTCTCATAATAATGCAGGAAATGAAATATCATAACGTGTGCAAAGGAAAAAAAATGGGAATGGAGCAGAAAGTCTATAGAAGTTGGGGAGGGGAGAGGAGAGAAGAAAAGCTCAACATATCTAGTTTATTATGAATACAAAGACATTTCCAGAATTTACAAACACCCACACTGTTCATTCCAAAGAGAGCTTTCAATTTGATGGGATCATCCAGGTTGCCTTCTCTTTACAATATATACAATGGAAGACTTTGATTTCCTTTTCTTCCATTCAATAGCCAATTTTAAGCTGACATTTGAAAATACCCAGTAGAATATATCCTTCTTCAATTTAATTAACATGGCCTATTGTCTTACAGGAAAAATACAAAATTAAGATTAATTCTTATAAGGAACTCAGCTCAACATCAAGTTTATATTACAAGAGATAGTATCAGTAAATATAACTATACAATTGAGAATCATCTATGGCACTATGATTCTTATTATATTATTTTTCTGAATTACAATCTTAAAACGAGGATACACCCTATTCTACTCTTTTTAGCCTTGTTTAAAGCATTTGCTCCACTCTTTACAACAGAACATTGTATACCTCAGTTCCACATCCAAAAAAAAGATGTGCTGTAAGAAATGTTACATTTTCATTAAAAAATTACACATATAAATCAAAACCTATGTTAAATATTTAATACTCTCTCCACCCAACATGAACAATATTATATGAAATAATTTACAATGATGCTTTGTCAAACACAGTTTCAGTAGCAGATGAAACATATCTTGTAAATGCAGTGAGAGGAAACCCATTCTCCTGTGGCATGATGGTGGGCACATCAGCTCATTGTAGCCAGCTAAGAAGTCCTTAAGGTTCAAGATGAAGCTTACGCAGACTCATTCTTCTGGTGTCACAGTGCTTTTTTGCTTGGCACAATATAGAACATGCAGTTCAGTCAACAAACTCCTGAGGATTGTATTAAGTAAACAAACTGAAATGGATGCGTCGTACCATCTACCGAGGAGGAAGATGTGAGGTCCTGGTTGGGAATCATGAAATAGTCTGGGCACCCATGAGTTAAAGGAGGATTTGCTGAGGTCATTTAGGTCTTCATTCTGAAAAAGAAAAGGAAAAAACTTTATCACCCTCTCAGCCTGTACAATCAGTCAGAATTTGGGACTCCTTTCAAAAGGGCACAGAGTACCAGATAAACTGACATTACAGGCACAAACTGTACTGTGTACCTAAATAAAATCAACAACCTCTAACTTTTTTTCCCTTTCAAAATGCAAGCGTGTAGAGCAATCACACACTAAAAGTAGTCAATATTAAATCAGTAAACAAATCAATGTGATCTGGACATTTCAGAGGTTTAGAAACAAAAAGAAAACAAAATTGTTTGGCATTATAACTGAAGGAACAAAAGTTCCTTATAGTAATTGCGTAAACCCACTATAAAACGTGAACAGGTTACTCCCCATCAGTCTCTGCTCAGTCTTCTTTTAGTTAGAAGTCAACTGCAGATTTTAGCATTTGAAGTTGCGAAGTTTATTACAAAACCTGAAATCAATTTTTAATGTGACATTGTGCGACATGAGAATTTTAGATGAAAAAGGAGATGCAAGCAAAGCAGACTTCATTAATCATTAAATAAGAAAAGAAAGGGATTCGGATTTAGGTCTAATAGAAACAAGTTAGTTAGGCAGAAGCACAGGATTTTCTCTCTGCAATTCAAGAAGACAGCCCTCAGAGGAGGAGCCCTTTACAACCTCATAAAACATCTTCTGTTTTTTTTATTATATTAGATGATCCTTCAAAGGTACATATTTTTCATGCATTCAAAAGTTATCTATTACATATCAATATTTATAGAGCGCTCTGAACAGTACGTGGCACAAAATAAGATAATCATAAATACTTGTTGAATGAGAATATGGCTGCATTAAGTACAATGCAGGATTCAAAGTTAAATTCTGCTATAAGGCTTGCCTTCTAGCAATTCTAGAAAGGCAGGCAAGCTCCATTCATACATAGATAGAATGCAAACTAGACAGGGGAGTTATACGATACGTGCACTGGGGAAAAAAATGCTTTGGATGCATGCAGGATGGGAAGAATACTTCCAGCTTAGAATATAAAGCAAGTACCTCACTGACACACTCGGCTTGGATGAGAAGAAAAGAAGTAATGTGGAGACATGGAACCAGGAGCTGTGTCATTGTTGCCTTGCATCTGCAGAGTTTAGCACAAGGCCTGGCACATGGCAATAAATGTGAGCTGAACGAATGAAAGGGACATAGCACACTTCTCTCTGTAGACACAGGATTAAATAAGTCCCAGGGGGACAGCACAGCCATGGACCTGTCAAATGAAGGACACGGCTTCCCAGGACTTCAAGGTAGCTGAAGAGGGGCATAAGGAGTTAAGTCCACAGATATAGGTTGGCTTGATGTTGAAAAACCTTGATAGATGAGCCAGAAGGTCTTTATCTAATTAGAGGGACAACAAGGACTTGCTTTGAGATACGATCAAGATCCACGTCAGCTACAAGGGCAGCAATGGTTTCTAATACAACCATCAGTGTTGACCAATGTATTTTTTTTTCTCTCTCTCCTCCTTTTGAAGGAGGTGAGTCTGGGTTTGATCTATCAGCAATTCATGATTTACATACTTGTAAGGGCTTTCCGATGAGTAGAAGTTTACCAAATGGAAACTAGTTTTATGAGGCAGTTTCTGTTTATTTTAAAATATGAACTCTGCTTCTAAAGGGCAGGTAAACAGACTATTATTTTACTTACTAATAAAACCTTGGCATAAAGCCCCTAGTGAAAAAACCAACAAACAACCCAGATATGGTGGTGCATGCCTGTAATCCCAGCACTCTGGGAGCTAAGGTAGTTAGCTAGGATCACAAGTTCAAGCTCAACTTGGGTAACCTAGTGCCTTAGTGAGACCCTGTCTCAAAGTAAAGAAAATTAAAAAGACCTGGAAATACAGCTCAGTGAGAAGGCCCGGGGTTCAGTTCCTAGCACTGCAAATAAATAAATAAATAAATAAAACGACGACACACACACACACACACACACACACACAGTTCCAGGCTTATCCCTTTAATTGCCAGAGAAACAGGATTTCCTTCCGGTGGTCTTTATGATTAAAAGCCCATCATTTCCAGGAAACTCCATAGGCAAGGAGCTCCAGGGCTCTCCTTTTCTTTCCAGTTTTTCCTGAACTAGTACAGGAAAATTCCTATCAGAGTATCTACACAAGGCTTGAACATGGCTTCACAGCTCTAGGCCTAAAACTAGGCAAAAAGGCCATACTATATCAGAGGGCCTTGACAAACAATGAAAGTGCCAGATTTAAAATGGAGGAAAAGCAAAAGGCACTCGGTATGTTTTTCATTTTGTATCTGACTCTCATCCAGAAGGCTGCATGCACAGCTCAGGACGGGAACAAGCTGTACCCAATTTTATCACTACAGGTGCCAACCTGCATGGATGCTCAGGGCAGAGACTGGGGGCCCTGGGAGGAGACAGGAAAGTCTGGCCTCACTGGAGGCTGAAATCTATTGTTTTGGGCCACTAGGAATCCTTCCCTGTAATTTTCCAGAACCATGTTCAAAGGGTACAAAATCAAAGGCCCTATCAATTGGATCGCATAGCTTCCATCTAAAGCCTTGGCCTACTACTTTTAGAAGCCTTTTATTGTAAATCATGATCAACATTTGTCTCAGCCACAAATGCTACTTCTTGGTTTTTCAGAGACTTAGGAATGTACAAACAAGTGAAAGCAGGAGGGGAAGGAGGCGGCCATGCGGACATGAGCAGTGGGACAGAGGCCTGCAACAATTTAAAGAGAAAATCTGAACTTCACCCTTACATATATGTGCACATTCATCATATCGCTACAGTGCAGTGACGTGGGTTTTGAACAGACATCCCCGTGATAAAGACCCTTCCGCAGCCACCTTGAGGGCTGGCTAGGCACGCAGTCCAGTCATGCAGCCATTGTCTGCAGCATTTTTGGAATGCCTTCTCAAATTTCCATTTCTTCTTTGTAACTGCCTTGGGCATATTCTTTTGAATGGTCTCTATAGGAGCCAGCCTGAGCCCTTGGAGAGCACATTTGATCTTTGCAGACAGCCCGAAAGCTTTGAGAGCCAAATATGGTGAATCAAGGGGCTGATTAGGCAGGGTAATGGTTCCCAGTGAGGTATTATCTAAAGCAAAAGAGTTCCAAAACTGAAGTTCCAAAAACATAGTTGTTCATGACAGTTTCTCTGATGAATTCGTTGGAAAGGAAGTCCAATGACTTTATAAACACAGCTCAAAATACACTTTACGGGAATTAAGTTCATCCCCCTTTATCCCTCCCTCCACATGCTTGTAACGTAGAAAGGCTGAGCTCAAAAAAAGCAATGCATTTGAACAAAAGCTAAGATCTATATCCATATATTTTTGCCATTTGGAAATATGCTTAAAGAAAGAAAAAAGGCAATACCTATACTAGGTGGCTGCAATCATTCAATTCAATAAATACTGTGAGTGACAAATACAAATGCAGTGATACATACTGTAATAAGCACCAAAAAAGATGACACAGACATGCGCATTGAACACATTTTATATACACAACTGCAATTGATGGACACCAACCACATGTAGCAAATATTGCTATAGTGTTTCACAAATACAGAAGCTCATTTGAAACATGCATAAACGAGAAGCTAAAAAGCAAAATATCTCCTTAAGAGAAGACATTGTGCAAATATTAAGTGGTGATGTTCTGTGATTCATTCTCTCTAGTTTTATCTTTGGGGAATAACTCCTGAACCCAGAAATACGATGCACTTGTCACGAGATTTAGTAGCAGGAAATTACATTTTGACAAAATTTCATCACCACATCAGTATCTACTGTACCTGTCTGCGTGTATCTCCTTGTAAGATAAAACCCACCTAATCCCATTGCCAGTAATGAAAAATGTAATTTTTAAAGCATTATCAAGTAAGTCAACACTTGAGCAATGCTACTTGAGACTTATGGATTATTACATTATTGCATCCAGTAGGAATTTACATTTTCTGGACTCTACCAACCTAAACTATGCCACCAGAGCTGAAAAACAAATAAGGCATTTGCTTCCTTCCACACAGTCCCCACCTACTGATCAGTTTCAACTGCGAAAGCTAAAGATATAGGCACAACGGATTTGTACCCTTCCAGCAATGTATTTTTCTTAGTCAAATCCATTGGCAAGTGTTTTCATCTTGTATTTTCATGTTTTGCAACTTGCCAATTTGTTGAGTCAAGTCCAACATAGTAATAAATATCTGATTAGGGCATTACTAGCAGTTTTTACTCTTACTAAAAAGAAGCAGTTCAGGGGCCACGGATTTAGCTCAGTGGTTTCGCCACCTGCTGCGCAAGCGCAAGGACCTGAGTTCGCTCTCCAGTAACAAAAAAAAAAAAAAAAGAAGCAGTACAATATTATAAGTTGCATAGCTATTGTCATATACTAAAATGTAGCCAGAAAAAAACCCTTCCTCATCCAACTGTGGTTTTTTTTGGTACCAGAGACTGAACTCGGGTCTTTACGCTAGTGCAGCAGGCGGCGAAACCACTGAGCTAAATCCCTGGCCCAATCCAACTGTGTTTTTAAAAACAACTGTACTGATGGCTTTTCTTCAATGGAGATCACTGTATGAAATCTTATACTGTAGGTTCAACTAGAAAAATTCATATAAATTAAATTCCTCCACTTAAAGAAATGTATCAAAGTAGCATATTCCTTTCACTTCATATAAATAGCTGTTGTTTTCAAAATTTGAGTATATCTCATGATATATCAAATATCATGATATTTCAAATGATGTATCTTGAATATAAAACAATGTACAAAATACTGGGAAATATATAAAGAAGAACTAATCATTATTTGTAATTGCTTGCACCCAAGGAAAACCACTATTTATCTGTGGTTCTACTTTCATTATATAGTTGAAGGGTTTGTCTACACTTAATGTCAAGAATGTTTGAGTAGGAGAGGAAAATAATCTTCAAATCATAGAACTTTCTCATTCTTAAAAATCTGCGAAGAGAAACTATTCAAA